TTACGCGTTGCGGGGGGAGGGCAGTTTAGATGGGGCAGGGGGAGGGAGGCGTTAGATGGGGCAGGGGGAGGGGGCAGTCAAGGTTGGGCAGCGGGGAGGGGCGGCAGTTAGGTGGAATCAGGGCGAGGGGGCAGGTATGGGGGGGAGATAGAGCTAAGCGTAATGCGTAAGGGTGGTTTTGGGGAGAGGGTGGAGGGGGTACTAGAGCAGCTCGGTAATGCAATGTGTTTGCACGACGTTCAGCGGCCGCCTGGCGCTGCAACCGCCTGCCACGCGAGCGGAGAAGTGAGTGTTTATCCAGATTACATGGATTACCGCCTTACTACTTACTCTGCTACTGCTCAGGCAGCTCTCTCTCTCTCTCATCTCTCTCTCCCTCTCTCTCTCTTCTCTCTCTCTCTTCTCTCTTTTCTCTCTTCTCGCTCTCTCTCTCTTCTGTCCTCTCTCCTCTCTCGCCTCTCTCGCTCTCTCTCTCTCTCTCACTCTCACTCTCTCTCTCTCTCTCTCTCTCTCTCTCTTCTCTGCTCTCTCTCTCTTCTCTCTCTCTCACTCCACATAGGGATTGTCTCGCTCTCTTCGCTCTCGCTCTCTCTCTCTCTCTCTCTCTTCTCTCTCTCTCTCGCCGCTCTCTCTCTCTTTTCTCGCGCCGCTCTTTCTCTCTCTCTCTCTCTCTCTCTCTCTCTCATTGCGCTCTCTCTCTTCTTCTCTCTCTCTCTTCTCCGCTCTCTCGCTCTCTCTCTTTCTCTCTTGCACGCTCTCGACTCTCTCTCCCTCGCTCTCTTCATTCTCTCTTCTCTCTCTCTCTCTCTCTCTCTTTGCGCTCATCTCTCTTCTTCTCGCCCTCTCTTTCTCCTTCTCATCGCTCTCTCTCTCTCTCTCTTTCTCTCTCTCGTCTTTCTCTTTCTCTCTCTCTCTCTCTCTTCTCATCTCTCTCTCATTTCTCTGCTCTTGCGCTACTCTCTCTCTCTCTCTTCGCTCTCTTTCTCTCTCTCTCCTCTCTCTCTTCTTTCTCTTTCTCTCTCTCGCTTTCTCTTTCATCTCTACATCTCTCTCTCTCTCTCTCTCGGCTCGCTTTCTCTCATCTCGCTCTCTCTTTCTCTCTCTCTCTCGCTCTTCTGCTTTCTCTCTCTTCGCCCTTCTCGCTTGCTCGCGTAAGCAGCGAAAGCTCTCTATCTATCTCTCTCTCACAGCTGTGGCGGAGCGATACGTCTGCTGCTTACGTCACGGCGTGCGCATGCGCGAGAGGCTGCACGTTATCGTCTGATCACTCCCGCGTGAACAATAGAACGTCCGCGCGGCATGTATGTTATATATATATAGATATGCTGGCAACATCTGGCAAAAATAAATCTTCGTAATAATTATAACATGTGAATATTGCGAACAGCATTATGCGTAAAACACAGAGTTATTGCTGCACTGCTTCCTGCTTATAAAATGTATTGTTTTAATTTTTTATGGTATTATTCGGAACTAGAACGCACTAATCTGAATTGTACACGTAAGGTAGATGCCCTATATATAGACGCGTTCAGAAAGCAGGAAAAGTAAGAATGGTCTTGTCCATTCGGGTACCCTCGGACCATTCAGAGAATAGAGCTGTTTTCTAGGCATGACGGGAAGAGTCGAATGGGTTTTCCGATTGTGGTCTTGTCGATAAATTGTTGTTCTATTTTGTCACGTGACCTGTAGCCATGGTAACCGGTCCGCGTTAACTGTAACACGGGATGTGACTAGTTGCTGGAACCCAACATCACGTATCTGGCGGCTCTCTCGTAAGTTTCGATTGAAATCTGGACTTCGAATCTATCGTCATTCAGCATGAATGAAATGTACGTCGTTTATGCGCCGAAACTCTCTAAGTATTTTTAATTAAATATTTTGTGTCATGTTTTTTTTCAGGCCTGCTGCCTATGGACGCTTTCTACTGTTGCAAAACACCGTAAGTAGCCTTAGGTAAGGAAAGCTGTTCTGTCAAAGCATTCGCGTAATTGTGTTTTATGTCAATCAAAACCGACATAATAATCATATGCAGTTATTTTAGTATAGTCTTTATACATACACACATATTACATATACATATGCATGTTACATATATACATACACACATGTGTGTGTGTGGGTGTGTGTGAGTGTGTGGGCGTGTGTGCGTGCGTGCGTGCGTACGTACGTACGTACGTACGTACGTATGTATGTATGTATGTAATCTATGTATGTATGTATGTATGTATGTGTGTGTGTGTGTGTGTGTGTGTGTGTGTGTGTGTGTGT